ACACCACGGTGGCCTTGTTGGTGTCGAGCTCCTCAGAGGAGGGCGGGAACAGCGTGACAGAGGGCGCCGACTTGGGCTGGCCTGCGGGGGGAGGGCGTGGGGGGGCAGGGGAGAGGTCAGAGTCCCAGTGGGGGCCCCAGAACTCAGCGCTGATGTGTGTCCGTGCCCAGGTGCAGGACAAGGCTGGCCCTTTCCGCCCAAGGTGAGGCAGGTGTGTGGGGGGCCAGCCCCTGTGCCGAGAGAGACCTCGCACCCCGATTCCAGCCTGGGTCCCTCAGTTGGGGCTCCTCTGTGCTCCCTGTGTCTGGCTGGCTTCCATCTGAGGTGCCCTTCCCCAGGGACCCCTGTCCTGGGCCATGCGTCTGTCTGCACCGCCCCCGGGCCCCGGCTCCTCTGTCTTTTGGGAGTGAGGCTGCTCGCCCGCCGTGCTGAGGGTTCCCTGCCCAGTGCAGACACCAGGCTCACCCTGCCCAACCCCCACAGAGCAACCCTATGCTGCCCTCCATGGGGGCGCCGGCCCAGGGTCTCCGCCCGGGGAGTCTGGGGGACTCCAGCCTCCCCTGGGATTGCGCCCTGTGCCGGGCAGAGGCAGCATCGCCCTCGGGTCTGTCTGTCCCTGGAGATCCCTCCTGGCCACGCACCGACGCCGTCTGCCCCAAGCTTCTGGTGGCTACGGGGTGACCCTCACTGCTCCCCCGAGAACAAGCCGGGCTTCTGCTCTGAGGTCTTTCCCCCGGGGGTGATGCCTAGTGCCGGCTCCTGACTTACTGGGGTGCCCCTGTGTCCTGGAGGATCCGCTGCAGCCTGGGGCAAAGCCCTCATAGGAGATGCCCCTCCGGCCTTTGTGCTCCACACCAGCCCGAGGCCGCCCCCGTCCCCCTCCCGCCTGCCGTCAGCGCCCCGGACACAGCCCAGACTTGCCCTTCCCTCCGTCCTGACGTCGCTGCCCCGCTGCTCACGGCGCCCCTGCCCGGGACCCGGCACCTCGTCCCCGAGGGGCCGGCCAGTGCGGTCGGGGAGGACCTCGGGCCGAGAGCAGGTGACGGCCCGAGGGCCAGACTGGGGGGCTCCTGTCTGGCCGGCGCCTCGGAGGGAGACGCTGAGGGTGGGGGCCAGACAGCAATGCCGCCGGCCCCGCCAGGGATCAGCCCAGCCCCAGCCAGGACAGAGAGGAGAGAAAATCGGCCACACGGGACCCCAGAGCATGAGGAGGAGGGAAGGGGGGACTCACCCAAGACGGTCAGCCTCGTCCCTCCGCCGAAAACATAACACAGTGCTACACCCTCCTGCAGAAACCCCCTGGGCGCCGCTGCACATGGCTGCACCCACCCAGGCCTCTGCAGCTGCCGGCC